TTTAATTTATGTTCCTCTTTGATGGGATTTGTTTGATTTTGGCAATTATTTTTGTGGCATTCATTAGATTCTTTTCATTGGATTTTGATTAATTTTTTCACTTTGAAGGATTTCAGATTTGTCACTGATGGTATAGTTTTGGTTAGGGCAAATCTTGAAGAGCATGAATGTTATGGATGGGGAAGAGAGGAATAGAGAAAATTCTTTTTGATTGGTTGTAGTAGCCCATTCCTTCCATTTGTCACCATACATAAGAATATATGAATCCGAAGGTAAAATTATATTCTATTGTCAGATTACATAATCTGAATCACTCTATATTTTTTCTCTCCTTTTTTTTTTTGGTATGTGACTTGATATTTAGTTCATCCTTTTCATGTATGTTCTTCAAGTTACCATTTTTTTTGCTACAATGTTTGATTTTGAAATAGATACAACCCATTTGGAATTAGTTATGTTTTTTGGTTTTAGTTTGTTTAATTATTTAATTTTGAATGTTGATTACTGATAAAAATGGTATTGCAAGCAATTGGGTTGAGGAGTTATGGTGTAACTAAAGAATTTTTAATGGCATTAATTTAAGTTAATAGTGTTTTGCAAGATTGTTATCTAATAGTAATTGAAGCTTATTGTAGTTTTCAATAGGAATGGGAGAATGTTATCTCTTCCACAATCTCACACTTTTACGTTGCTTTGATTATTGATTTTGGGTGTGAGTGATCATACAGTCATGACATTTGGTTGAGTTTTATTTTCCTTTAGTCCACATTGTGATTAATGACCAATGATTGCTCCAAGTTTTTAATAATTCAGCTTTTCTCAAACACAGAGCATCGACAACCACAGCGGAGTCGAAATTCCATTTCTATTGATATGGAGACTATCTATCTTGGCGAAAAGGTTCCAATTCTATACAAAATATATTATATTCCTAAATCCTCCATTGGATATTTGGTGACTTTCGATTTTGTTTTCTTCACTTTGATGATTAATTTTTTTCTTTTGTTGTGAAAAACTTTGATGATTATTGTTGGATTCACATTTTTATACACAAACATTCCACTGTAGCATCTTTGGGATTGTTTGACTTCTTGGATTACGATATTTTTGGCTATTGAAATAACATAATTCGAATGTCATAACTTATGACTTCACATGAAGTTGAATGGTTCGTATACTTAGAGATTGGTGAAAAAATACAGTCAAAGCAAATATTTATTGTAGCAAAGTAAAGTCAATTTTATTGATGTGTATAGCTGTTGCAATGAAGTAGAGCATAGCTGTAACACCTGAAGCAATTTTTTTCATGTTTATTGTATAGTTGCTACATTTCTGCTCCAACTTATTGTACTGGTAATCTGATGCAACTGCTAGGTAGCTAACAATTATGAATGAGTTGTTGATTTTAAGTTGATTATTTGAAAAAGGATAATAGTTAGGGTGCTTGAATTCTGGTAATGTGTTCCTTTTGTTTTCCCTTTATTCACTCTGCAGTTACTATTTTTTTTTATCAGTTAGCTCCCAGGGATGTTAATGAAATTTTCTAATAACTAGCAGAAACCATTTTGGTTGGAAAAGATTAACATTGATTGTGTTACTAAGCGAAAACGCAGAGTTATTGTCAAAGAGGAGAAAATAGAGGAAACAAATGGAGTTTCTGGGAAGGAAAATGTTTTAGGAGTTCTTGGAGTTGCAACTCTATATCTGTGCTGCAAGGGCTGTTTTTTTAATGTGTGTTTATGCTGGAAATTTCATATAAGTTGCCCTTTGTATTTGCTTGATGTTTGTATTGAGTTTTTTGATGAAATAAGCAGGTTTTTTTTATATATAGAATTTACACAATATCTGTAGCAATTTTTTTTGCTCACAATTTTGCTTTGCTTTTAAGTTTTTCTTTGAGTTTTGCTCTTGCAAATGGTATGAGTTTTGGAGATTTAACTCGAATGGTGAAAGAGAAGAAATTTAGAAATCCTATTGCGTGTGTATGTGCGTTGATTTCCTCTCTATACATTTATTTGTTATATAGTGTCTTCAAGTATGGACAATGCCTAGGTCTCTGTTGTGTTGGATTCAAACACAATCTGCCTTTTTTGTATTAAAACTTAGGTTCCGTTTATTTTGTTCTCAATTATGTTGGGCTAAAAACCAAAATTGCAGTGAACAAATGCATAGTGACTGATTTGAATTAACAAAGAATTTGAACCAGACATAGGTACATTGCGATTTATTATTATTATTATTATTAGAGATTGTTGTGTTACACAATGTCTTCAGAAATGAGCAATTGTTTGCAATATTTTTGTTTGTTGTATAGTACTTTCAAGCACGGACAATTACTAATAATTAGATATTAAAATATCTAAAAAGTTCGGAGAGATGCTTAAACAAATAATAGATTAGATACTCAAAAACTTATAGAGTAAATAAGTAATTAAATTTAGTAATATTAAAAATATAAATTAATTATTTGGCACCTAATTTATTATTTAATTTAATTACACATATAATTCATAGTTCTTATAAAAATAATATCATTTAAATTTGTTTACATTGAAATTTGTAAAAATAATCATTCACATTGAAATTTGTTTAATGCACGTCGTGCATTGATAGTATATTATAAGATTAATAAAGAGTAATTGGGTGTAGTCACGTGAACTTTTAAATTTTTAAAAAATCAAAAATCTAGAATATTAAAATGATTAAAATGGATGCTTCTCCTTATTTGTATATACATCTCCTTATAGTATAGAGACTAGGAGTAACCAGTGTTTAAAGGCACAGTGTAACGTAAACCAATCAATTAATTTAGAAAAGTGAAGAGTGAAGATCTCAGAGAGAGAGAGAGAGAGAAGAGCGAGAAGAGGAAAGTAAAATTCAATGTGAATGATTTTGAAAAGACATTAATGACCGTTGGATGAGTCTATTTGAGATCGTCAGATATACTTATTGAAATTTGTCCTACTTTATATTAGAGATATATTTTTATTTTTATTTTTTTGTCACCCTCACTTCTGGGTTTCAACACTCTCCACAAAAAGAAAAGAAAAGACATAATAATTTCAATCTTTTAAAGTGAAATCAATCAAAGCGGCATCTTGCAAGATACGAAAGATAACCTTATAACATGCAGTTGTGTTGTGCCCCCACCATTCATATCATTGTATTTGTGGCCAAAGCTATGTTGAATTTCTTCTTAAACACGTCAGTAACGTGTTTGGAGGATTGAGAATTACAAAGATTCTATCTTTTAGGATAAGAGATTGATACATACTAAATACAAAAAAAAAACAAAAAAACTTTGCTGAGATATATTATAAGAGTTTGAACTAAGGTGGCTTCGGGAAGAGATCCTTGTACTTGTACATGTGTGGGCTATTCTTGAATTTCTTTGATAAGAATATGTTTGAAAGGATCTACATCTACCTCTAGCCTTGTACTGTTGTACACACCTCCTCCCACACACTAGCTATTTGAACTTGGCCAGATTAATGTCAAACATAAATAATTCAATTTTGACATAAATTTGTTTAAAGTATTATATATCAAGGATGTTTGATTGCTCATTCTTTTTGTTAATGTATTGCTTGACTTCCTTTGGAATTAAGCAATATATTTATCTAATTTTACTTGTAGTAAAAGTTTAATTTTTAGAATTTGAGGGATTTATTGGTGGCGAGTAGAGGTGACAATCTTAAATCATTATCCATTAACCGACTTAATCCGTTCATAAATAAATGGGTAGAGTACTATATTAATTAATGCGGATTTTAAAGGGTTTGAGTAATATAATTCATTTTAATTAAGCAAATTAAAATTAATTACAAATGGATACTCATTAAGTTGAGTATTTATCTTTCTATTAAATAATACAAGTAATAAAATCAAATAAATATACTAAATTACCAAAAAATAAACACATATACACTAATACACCAAAACACACACAAGCTAGCACTCCAAAAACACCCTACCCATGACCCCCACGATCCATGACCCATGTGTTGACTCTTGACCCGTCCCATGACATGTGATTCATGGGTTGCCCTCGTGACCTAACTCACAACACACAATCAACCCGACTCATTATGTGTGCATTTTGGTTTTTTATTAAATGTATTTTTATTTTTTGTGTATATTTTTAATTTATTAATAGGTGTGTATTTTAGTGTATTAATGTGTGTTTTAATATACTAATGTGTGTCTACCAAAAATTTTAATTATTTTATGAGTTAATAAGTTTAACACAACCCATTATAACTTATTTAATAGATTAAATTTGTTTTAACCCAACCTAATTTAACCTAACCCATTCCACCAATTTACCACCTCCAGACGTGGATTTACTTTTGTTTGTGCGTGTGGAGGGAAAGGGGGGTGCGTGTGTTCACGTAGGGAGAAAAATAAAAAAAAAACAATGAAGAAAAATTTATTAAACACATCAAACAATAAATATCAGGATGATATCCATACACATTAAACATATAAATATAACACAGGAAATAGGAAAACGCCTTCCATCCATACTGATTTTCATTGAATGGGATGATGCTCAGACTGTGATTCATTGTACAACAAAATGTGAATAATAGATTCTGGTAACCCCAGAAAGAATATCCACTACATAGTACAAAACTCGAAACCAAATCAGCAGTGGCTGTTAGGAGGATCATTACACCAAATAGAACTCCAGAATCCCTGCACTTCATGGTTGAGCTAAATTCACATCATAGTTTACATGCCACCAATCGCCAATTCACATCGTAGTTGTGCACGCCACCACTCGAGAATTTGCAATATGCAGAATTATGCCTTGCACCAAGTTCTGAATCCGAAAGTCAGCTGAGTCTAACAGAACTAACAACCTACCAAAATGTTACTTCTTCAAGGATGCAGCAAAAACACATTTCTACACCGGGAAGATACACAATCAAAATCCTCTAATCACACAACCCATCAAAGATTGAATTCTTCCTTCCCCTAAGCATTTCAATTTCTGTTCACCTCTTCATCTGCATAGCAGCCATACTCTCCTCGTAGTTCAGAGTTTTGGCTGCATTTAGAAGCATGTCCACTCCTCCAGATTTATCAAACGCCTCTTCTCCATTCTCTTTCTGTTCGTTTCTAAGATTCTCAAATGATCCTTTTCCACCTTCAGCTCTCCTTTGCAAATTGTTTTGCATATTCTCGTATGCCCTTTTTGCATTGCGTATGTGCTGCATTCCTGCATCACATTTTCTGCAAAACCATTTTCCCCTGGGAATTGAAGAGCGAGGTGGTTGCATACAATAAATGTGGTATGCATGATCACAGCAGTCGCACAACACAATCTTATCATCATCTTGATCAGTGAGGCAAGCTCTGCAAAGACAAGAAGGGCAATACCAACGGGGGCCATATGATTTCAACTGTTTACTTGTCAGGCACCTAATGTGGTAGTATTTATGAGAGCAAAACAAATGGCCACAAACTCTGAACTTTTCACCATTTTCTACCTTACATCTACAGACATTGCAAGGGGACATAATATGGCGCCCTTTGGATGGTTGAAGCCCATCTTCTGAAAGTGCTTCTTCAGTTGTAAGATCTTCATCCACTCCATCTCCATTGATTGATGATCTGGGGGCAGCTAACCTCTCGCACACAGAACAATTCTCATGGGGCGGCGATTCAATTCCCTTTGCAGTGCAGTTGGAACAGTACCAACTTTTTAGGGGAATTTCTTCAACAGCAGGCTCGATACAAGAGACATGATACATCTCCTCACACGAATCACAAACTAGACAGTGTCTTCCATCAGCCTTCTCTCCACATTGGCAGCAAGTACAGACTCCATACATGCCACAGGCTTCCGTTTGCTCCACTTTAGCATGCATATCAGAATCCTGCAACAGAAACTGCTGAATGAGAGATTTCAAAACATCATGGAATTCAGAACCAAGTCCAATAGATTTTCCAAAAATCAAAATCTTAACCATATTTGCTAAACTGCATTCAATAGCAAACATATAAGATCCAGCCACCCGGGAAATCATGTATCAACATCAGACCCAAAATAGAAAATTTACCATATTCTCTGCAGAACTAGAGCAAGATAACAGGTAAAATTGCCAAATGATAGTAAGTATGACTGGATGAAGAAAGAATGTCAAGAAAAAGGGACACTGGAAAAAGAGAACAGGGTTTTCACCTCAATTGATCTCAGCCAATGTCGGAATACTATTAGGATTGTGGTGGCAGCCAGTTGTCCACCGTATACAACAATAATGGCAACAGAACCTTATAAGTAAGAAGTGGTCACGTTTAGCATGAAAGAAAACCTCCACTGAAATCAAATATCTAATTTCTATAATCAGAGAAACACAATTTGCCGCACATTGCTCCCAAAATACTGCTGCCTTAATACCTTAAGCATTCCTTATTATGCACCAGTTCCATTGCAACATCCGTGAAGGGGTCAGGCTGGCTTAAGAGAGTTTCAAGTAACCTTTCCTAGATCCACTTTCTGTCACATTCAAAATGCAGCTTAAGCATTCTAGTATGCAACCCCTAAATAGGGAAAATCTGATGTCCGAAGTCCCCTTTACATTCGATCTTGATATCTAAAGAAGAAAACCAACCAAGCAAGTCTGCCAAACATTGAAAAGTCTTACCTCATATTTAGCATCCTCAGAATTACAGTGCACCACCTAAGGGGGCAAATGAAATATTTATGTTCATCTAAATGTACTGAGAAAACCAAGGCATGTTTGCATATATTAATAATTGTGAACCATACAGCAGCTTGTGTCCTTAACAAACTATAGCCTAAAAAAGTTAGAGAGAGAGGAAAGAAAAAGGAAGAGGGGGGAGGGAGGAGAAGTATCTGCAATCAACCTTTACCTGTTCGCAATAAGAAGTCCTTGATTTGTCCGAAAGGCTCTTTGCAAGAGCAACCATTTCAGTGCCAACCTTTTGAAGCTTTGACCATACCTGCAAAAATTACTGACGTCAAGATGTACATGTCACAAGAACAAAATTCTCAACTTCGTGAAACAAGATGTGACATGTTTGCAAATTATATAAGGAACATATAGTTTTATGCAACGACAAAACACAAAAACCACCAAAAAAAAAATTCCTTGATATGAGTACAGTAGTGACCGAGTTCTGAAATTTCCTCATGATGCAAAAAGTGAACCTTTGATAAATTTAACCACTGGCATATCAAATTAAACAGGACCCAAGACATAACCACACACAAGTCAAAAGAAGAACTATAACATAGATCCAAACATTAGATAGTTCACATAAATTGAAATAACAATTAACAGCGCTCAATATTATCAACAATTTACATTCTCTATTTGTTACTTATTACACTCCTTTTTGTTTCTTATTACGTTCCAACTCTACATAACCAAAACAGTCAAGAGGATCTCATACTATCAAAAAAGTTCTCTGAAATTACAAGCCTCCTATGGATAGTACAAGTTCATATTTCGGAAGCCTAGCAGCTAGTGCATCAACATGAACAGATTATATAAGATATCCAAATGTCTGCACCACATACACATCCAAATTAAGCACCTAAATCCGTGCAGCTTATGCATTATAATAATCCGTAATCCATGCAGCTTATGCGTCAGCACCTTGGCGCATGATTGCATCCAAGCTGATGTAATATTGAGGAACCACACTACAGTTTGTCTAAGTGAGCAGTGTGAATTCATTACAAGTATTCTCATTTATGATTAACATTTTCTGGGGTCCATCTCAAAAAGTTACATGTCTGAATGATAATCCAACATCTTTTAAAACCTTTGCCAAGACTGCTCAGGCCAACCTACAGTCATACAAGAATCATTTCATGCATTACATTAGCTATCAGGCATTCTGGCTTCAAATGAGACATATTTTATCTGATGAACAAATGGAAAAATTATCTTGTGAATTTTTGGCAAAGTCATTTTTATCTATGGTGTAAACCAACAAGGGTCCATATAAACCAATTGATTAATCACTCCGTCAAACCTTTTGAGGCTTTGAAGTGTGCAACTAAATCCTTGAATGGTTGATGGGTTATTAAAGAACAAAAATTCAGGAATCTCATCAGGATCACAGTTTGGACATTGCGTGATGAAGTTTATTATATTGTATCATATATTGTCACTTTTGTTAAGATATACAAATTCCTAATAGAGGATATTTTTGAAATTTCTGGCTTTCAGGAGATGGGGTTGAAGCCTTGAACTGTAGACAGGATATTATGTTGAACTTCTGCAAACAGGCCTTTTTATACATCCTATGTCAAGTTGAGCGAATCCAATTAAGATGCAATCTCTCAAACTTGGGCACCAAATTTACTTAGCCACCAAGATGTAATGTATCCAAGTCTCATATGCTATTTATAAGTAACTGTAGTAGTTATGTCACAAATAGAGTGAATGGCATTATGAGTATTTGAGAACCCTCCTCTTATTTGTTTTTCTTTGCTACTTGTCTTCAAGCACACTGAACAACCTCGAAATCCATCCATCACATGTCCTTTCCACATATTGGCACCATTAATAAAAAGTTCTCCAAAACTTAAGCACGCCACAAAACCAGTTTGTGCTGCATCCATGGACCATGGTACAACAAAATATTCAAGAAACTCTATCTTAAAGATGAAAGATGATACAACTAACAAGTACATTATGATAGTTCTATTTGTTCCTCTGCTGGATCACTAGCTAGAGCAGAATTTTCTTGTGTATTAGTTCGTCGACTCGGTAAACCAACCTTCTCCGAAAATCAGTTTATAATATTAAACATTGATTTGAGCATAAGGAAGAATCTTTCATTAACATGGCAGATTACCAAAAAAACAATGAAAATATAAAGAAAAATCTTTTTTATTCACAATGCTTGTGCTTTGATTCTTGTGCTAAAACTTCAGCTCTTTATTATAAAAGTAACTTAAGTGTATTATTAGGTAGATCATGGTCGGAATATTAACCAACTACCTCACAACAGAATAGCACGGCTTATGTATAGAAAAGAAGTGAGCAGTAACTTCATTGAACCTTTTGGCATAATTTGGGAGAGTACTAGTTCCAATATACCAAACATCTGTTGCATAAAGTTAACTAGCCTAGTTAAAACTTAGAACAGATAAAACCTTCTTTAGGCCTTTTCCAATTACTCTAAAACATTCCATAAAAAAATGTTTTCCAGAAACAGTGAAAACTTGAGAACAGTGCTTTCAATCATTTTTCAATGATTAGTTTGGCAAGAAAAAACCAAAAGCAACATGCTGATGTTTCCTGAAAACAAGTTAACAGCCAAACAAATTCTCAACCTTATTTTCTGATATGTGAAAATCCAAGAACAGAAATTTCTTTTAAATATTGTACCCGACAGGCCCCTTTGTGTAATGGAGAAGTAAGCAAACAACTTATAATATTGAATGGTTTTTATGATTATGTCTATCCCAAGAGAAAATTTGATAACAGTTCCTAAAGATGAATTAAGTTCAAAAAATTCAAACATTGTTACAATCAAATGGAAGTAAATATGATCAGCCATTACTTGTTAGTTCAATATGAAAGCAAGAGCAATTGTTTAGTCTCCACACCTACAACACTATCCCACAGATAATATAATCGGTATACTACTTAAAGGGGCGGCCATTTGCTCACCTCATACTAGGTCAAAAATTGGTTTGTGTCACAGGTGTTGAAAGGTCTAGTCCACACAGGTGAGGGCTAACAGGGTTATTGCTCATAAAACCTTTATGTCATTCAGGAATAGGGCCTTGGCCGGTCACCTTTCCGGGCCGGGATTGATAAGTGGAAGTCATAAAAAAGAGATCTTTCTCTTTGCACCTCAAATGAAGAGGAAGGGTAGCTTGTCACATTGACCAATAATATTTTTATCTTTCAATTATTTATATATGTTTATGTTAGTAGGAATAATAGAATGATATAAATAAAACATTGCTTCTAAGGGACTATAGGTTCGCCTACTTGACTTTTGAAAGACTACCAATGCACCAAGCATGTTGCATGTGAATAAATTTAGATGGAAAAAATGTTAATGAGATTTATAGGATAAATTTTATGTGTAGTTATATCTCATATTTCCAAATTGAGATTTTTATCATCAATATGAATAAGCCATATGTTAATTTAGAATTTTATCATTGTCTTAATGTATATTTTAAGGGTAATATACTATTTTCAAAAGTTTTTCAAACATCTTGACATCTACAAATTTTCATTTTAATTATTATGGCTCTAGACAAAGCACAATGGAAAAATAGGATTCATTGTTGAATTGAGTTGTAGTTTTATTATTGTTATTATACACACACATATAGAGAGAGAGAGAGATAAATGAATAGCCATTTATGTTTTTTTTAGTTATCTAATAATAGTGGTGGTGTCGAGCAATATTTAAAAGTATGAAGGGATATTTATGTCTTTTTGAGTTAATAATTCATAATGACATCATTAACTATTTTAATAAAGGTATATTAGCCAATCAAAATATTTTCAAGATAAAGGACTCTTATTAGTAGTTTAAAAAAGGAGAATGGGTTTGTTTAATAAGGCAAAGGTGCAACTTAGCCCTACATTATTAGAAGTATAATCAATTCCAATTGTATACAATATAAATCTAGGCGAGGGCACATAATTTCAAAACTATACTATCACAATATCAAGTCATTGTACCTCCCTCCCTCTCTCTCCCCCTATGTGTGATTTTTTTAACACATGCTCCCAAATCACTAAATTGGTCCAATTCCTACTACTGAGCTAAGTAGCAATCTCATATGAAAATCATACATCATGTTCCATCTAAGGAGCCTGCAAGGATTGAACGTATGCAATCAAAATGCTATCTATTTCCAAAATTTTACAACAGTGAGAAACAACGAACACCAGATCATGAGCACATATAGAATTATGCAAATGAGACCAAACAATAACAAGGAAAGAAAAAATACCTTTTGAATATCTGCATGATAAAGCATGGGATATCTCTCATATGATCCCTCTTTAAACCTTGAGTTTATAAGTCTAATGTCAAAAAAGCTGTCAAGTTTCATTCCTTGAAAATTTTCCAAGAGTATTTTACACAGCTGAGAAAACTTTTCCGATGTTACAACATCAAGAAAATTCTGTTGAACCAGCTCAGTAATCGTGCAATGATTTGGTTCATTTAAAGCTCCATTGGACATTACAACCAAATTCCCTTTAGCAGCATTCCGGGTTCCATTAGGCATCGACCCTCTGTGTGAAGAGCATTGCTGCCTCCCTTCATGGGAATGAACAGATTCCTGCAATCCAAACAATAAGAAGAATAAACAAACTAAAATAAGAACAGGAGTGGATCTAAGCCAACCATGCAGTTCTGGTAACAGCATGTACCTTATCTGCATTCGTGCAGCCGTTTTCTGGATGAAAAATAAGAGCATCTCTAATGCATTCCTGTAAACCGCCTTCACTCCCACTTATTTGCTGACACATCTGCTCCAAAACAATGTTTCTCCACTGCTTGAGGGAAGAATCTTTTGAACCATTCATAAAAGCACGTGAACTCCTCCGAGCAAGACTAACTTGCTGGCAAGAAGTGCTGTTTAAGACCATTTCCGATGGTTCTGTGTTCTGCAGGAAATCAAATAAAACCACACGAAAATGCCAAAGCATTGAGGAAAAAAGAAAAAATCCATGAAAGACAGAACACTAAGGAAATTACTGGAAAAGGATTATACAAATAACGTATAGCAGGTTAGTAGTTTGTCCCACGTCGATGAAATCCCACTTCCCAGACCATTACAAGTCTTGTGATTTTATTCACTTCTTGCTAATTGGTTTTGGACTCTAATTTGACATCAAAGCTGGGCTCGAGGAGGATTTTAGCAAGAATCAATTTTATATAATTGATTTGCCCTTTGTTCGTGACATAGGTACACTTGTTATGTCTCTGAATTTGTCTACTAATTCTTTTGTTTATCCCCCCATGGCTGAGTGGGGGTCGCACGTGCGGGGATATCTCCCAAAATAGTATATGAGCGCTTTAGGCCTTTCCATTCATCGCCAACTAGTGTTAAGTTAGAAATTTTACTCATCAAATACAACCTTTAGAGCTCCTGTTACTTCTTCTATGACTACTTTTTCCTTTACTCTTGAATATGATTATCTTGTTCTTTAGCCTTGAATATTGTTCACTATACAAGATTAGTCAATCCAAAAAGGTCCATTATCACGATCATTACATATCAGTATCACATGAAAATTTTAAGATATCAACACAAACGCATGACATTGCATTTCTTCTTGGTTATTCATATGGTATAGAATTACAAAAAACAAGGTGCTATGCAACATAGTTCCTTCTCATTGTACTAGTAGTTGAAATTGTATACTTGAAGTGGTAGCCAATGCTTAATTAGATGTCCTCAACAAAACCCTAAAACCAGACCTGAGCACCAAGCTGCTAAAGAAATGGTCCAAGAAAACTTTCTGTTACAATGATTCATGGACTGACTATGTAGTCAGGTTAATATGCCATCATTACAATTTTAATTACATTTCTATATTTTTCCATCAATTGTCCATAAGAAGTTTCCAGATTTGATGGAAAGAAGCTCAGTGGTGATCTATGGTCATAAGTCTTAAATTTGAATCTACTGTTGTTGAGTACATATCTTAGCTTTTCTCAATCTACCCTTCTAAATTCAGAGTTGTAGCCCCAGTACAAGTACTGGTAGTGTAACCACTAACGAATTTATTTAGATCTAAGACACAAATTTGGTAGAGCTATGTAGTAAAGAATCTGAGATTTTATGATGTTTCTTTGCAATTCAAATTCAATACCCAATGTTACCTAGATCGTATATCGATTTGGTACGTTTTACGGATAGGGGTAGGGTTAGAGGTAGGTGGTACAATACTTCTTCCAATTCGCGGTCTAGTGGGTGTAGGCTTAGTAGGTACATTGTTTTGGGTCATAGTTTGTTTTGCAACTTCTATGTAGAATAATATATCCATATGCACGTAGTTAATAAATATTTATTTTATGTTATCAAAATATGAGTTTAAAGAACATCAAAATAAAGAAATAACAAGTTAGAGTTACGATTTGAGGTTAAGATTATGATATGAGATTACTTAGATCATGAATCAATTTGCAATTTGAATTATAATTTAGAATCAGGACTTTGAGTGATCTGAATCATGAACCCACCCTATTTTGGGTCGTGTGACCCTGGCTTGTGAGATGCTAAGAATTTCTACGATCGCAGCATCTATGATCCAACCATAGAGGTGGAGCCTCATAAATTCTAGATCAAATGCCTCCAATACTCTTCTTCATTGCCCTCCACATTTTTCTTCCAGAAAGAGAATAATACTTATTTTGATTTAGCACTTTGCCCTTTTATGTACTACAATGTCAAACAAACGGATATTTAAATAAGCATATATCACCTAGATAAATGTAACTCATAACCTCTATTTACACAAAATCTGTAGTATTCATCAAAGAAAAACAAACAACTAGGCTCATAAACATATATTTTGTCCATTGGACATAATGTGAAAGTCTCCCTCTACTATCAAATCAAAATATGTAGATCAAACACCTCTAAAGTTGTCTCTTTTATAACTTGTGAGGATCACAAATTATTCAATCATGATAATTTTGACTACAATTTTAAATGATGGCCTAAGCTTTGCACGTCAATATGGTGCAAAGTTTAGACCATGAAATTCACAATGCACCACAATTTCTAAATCCAAACCACCAAATACATCAAAAGAACAAAAAGGTTCCACCAAAGAGCATGCTATATATAAATGTACTGAACAATGAAAATCTATAAAACAAAATGCAGAATATCACAAGCATGTAATTTTTGGATCAAAATTTCAAACCTTATCTGGACATTGACCACTTGAATCAATAGAAACCTTCCCATCCTGAATCAATTGGGTCTTAGAACTACTCATCTTTGTATGCTTTCGCCGCTTGTAAGTCCGAAAATCCTTGACTGACGACCCCGCAAAATTTCCATCTCCACCACCATTTTGAACTACAACTGTAAACCCATTCACTGCCTTACAATTTGACTCCATACTACCACCATTTGTTAAACTCTCTTCCTCCATTCTGTCAGTTCCACCCAATAACCCCTAAATTCCAAACCTTCAAAACATCAAAATTAGGGTTTACCACAGAAAAAACCCAGCCTTATAACGACCCAAATACTCAATTTTCCTGTGAAGTAAAACAAACCCACATAAAAAATCAAAAAATAAACCAAAATCCAAGCATGAAAAACTAGGAAAACAAAAACAGTTACTTTTTAGTACAAACTAACCTAAAAACCCACCTTGTAAAATCCAAACTATGCAACTTTTTCTGTAAATTACCACATACCCATTTCCCAATATCAACAATTTAACCAAAAAATCTAAGCACAAACAACTTTCAGTAAAAAGAAAACTGTAATTTTGCGTGCAAACAAACGAATACATGAAATGTCGTCGCACATACAATAGATTGTACCCACAGTCTATATTGACGGAAAAGAAAAATAAAATATCACTTACTTGTGATGTAGAGAGAGATAAAGAGGACTTTGAGGAATCTTATGCCCTAAAATCGGAACCCTAGATACACTGCAACATTTGAGTGTATTATCCGAGAGTTTCTAAATTTTGAACACGGAGCGGGTCTTTTGTGTACTTTCAATCAGTTTAACAGATGCGGTACAGTATGTAGGTGCCAAGTTCTCTTTTTTGAATAGGAATTGATTACCGGTAGGTCCGGTAGCTGACATTATATCCTTTTTTTGCTGCTGATTGGTTGGAAACTGTAAAGTTTAGGTTGCCGTAATCACCTATAATATAAAACGCCACAATTTTCGATAAGTTCATCTGATGACGATAGTTAACGTTTTTTTTAAAATTATTCATGTTATACCGTATATTCATGTACGAATTATCCCTTGTAAAATATATAATAGTAATTTTTTAGTTTTTACAAATATATTTTTAGTCCCCAAATTATATTTGTGTTAGTTGTCTTTAATTTTTTAATTGTGTTAATTTGGTTCAATCAAAAATAATAGTTGAAATGTATTAACGAGATCATCACGTCTCATGTTCTCATACTTAAGGCACATTTTTTGAAAACCTTAGGAAATAAAATGCCACAAATTATAAACTTGAAGACCAAAATAATACAAGTTTCAAATTTGAGGTATCTAAGTTACCTCCAAGTGTGTTCACGTGAACATCTCCGTTAGTGTATTCAAACTGTGATTTTTGATTGGACTAAAGTGATACAAAATAAAATTTTAAAGGACCAAATTTATATAATTCAAAGATAAAGAGACCAAATTGATATAAAACACATACTTGAGAACAATCAATGTATTTTATCCCTTTTTTTTTGTATATTGTGCACAGAACAAAAAAAAAGTAAAAATTTAAAAACATTTATTGTGCAATTTATTTGCCTTTTGGCTCAAATTTGGGAGTTTTTTAAACAAAAAATAATAATTTAGGGAGTTTTTTTTTAATTTATGGTTATTTCTAAATCTATTTGCGTAGATTAATTTTTAAGTTATATTCAATCTATTGATATTTCTATAAAGCGTCTTTTAAATTTACTGTTTTGTTGTAAATATTTGTTTACAATAATTCTTTCAATATAAAAATTCAAAATACAAAATACTCTAAATTAGGAAATAAGTTAAAACTGTTGTACGGAGAGAATAAAGTTGGAAGATAACTAGAGTTAAAAATTTTATTTTTAATTTCAGGCAAAAATGAGATTTGTAATGAATGGTTGAAATCTAATTTAAATGTAGACAAAATTTAGATTTGACTTGTTTAGCTTGTTAATTAGACTATTGACTATTATTTGAGTCTAGTTCTAAACAAAAATTAACAATTTAAGATTTTACTTTTATATAACTAATTTTCATACAAGTCAATCTCAAATGAATCTTTAGTTGATCTCTCAAATATTTGATTTCTTTACAGCCAACCAAAAACCAGAATTCCTCGACAACTTAAAATCCAACAGTATGTGTGTAGGTTTATTACACTTGTTGTGAATCGATATAATGATGAAGACAATCTAATTTTCTAAATGTTATTCCATTCTTTTGTAGAGAATATTAAATATTCACATAGCACTCTGTCTTTATAAATACTAGGGATCAGACACGCGTGGTATTGTGTGTAATAGAAGAAAGATATGAAAGTAGAAAGTAATTAGAATAAATAAATCTAGGTGGTTAGAAATAGTAAATGATAAGTCATGGGTGATTAAATGAAAGAAAATCAGGGATATTAGTAATAGATTTGTGATTAAGTGGTAAAAGAGGAGTTATTTATATTGTATGTTATTACAAACAAATTAGGTGGAAAAGGACTTGGGACTTGCCTCTCCACTTCTTTTTTGCTTAGAATTTTTAATTACAAAATATGATTTTACACATTATATTTTGTCATATGACCCATGTAACTAGTCTCCACTCCCATTAATTAACTACTATTCATTTGAAATTTTTAAAAAATTATGTAAATGACCCCATAAAATCTACTATAATTATTATTTAATATCTCAAATGATGAGGTCAAAAAATATGGAAGAGTTGAGAGGATCATAAATTTTATGTATCACACAAGCTCGTCACTAGTAAGTGGTTAAGTGAAAGAAAACCTAGAATATTTGTTACACAAAAATAAATATTACTTGAAAACACACGTTTAAATTATATTAGAGTCTCTAATATTTTTCATTAAATTTAGCAAATCTCCTCCAATATAAAAAGTAACACCGTTTATCCCTTGATGTTTGTGTGCCTATATCATATAGGCCATCGTTGAGGAAATTTTGTATTGGTTTAGCACACCTTCTAGCACATATAGTGTACACAGTCAATGCAAAGCTGACATTTCTGACATACAATATAATTTTAAATCATGTTAAATTGATGAAAGATAGCGGAAGAGGCACAAAATTATGACACATGTCTTAATATGATGATTCATGCACATGATAAGGTCATGTGTGCATCTAGAATATGAACAATTCGAAGTGATCCGAGATCGGGCCGAGCAAATTGAAATCAAGCTAAGGCTAACAGACCCTTTCAAGTATACTCAGTTGATTAGGCCGAGCTTCCCTAAAGGTTTGGAATAATCTGGGTCTAGCTAAGCAGATGGTTGCCTATTATCCGGGAGAATAAAGGGATAAGATAAGTAAGTTGCTAAAATTATGATGGGCATTGTCAATAGGTCTGCAGAACTAGCTAATTTGAGAATGTTGAAGAGATTTTAGTAGAAGTGACTTGAAATACGGCATAATATAGGTGAATCATCTCGCCTTGCAAACAAGAAAAATCCAAAAGGACGAAGACTAATGTATCCTATAAAAGGGGATTAGAAAAGCTTAAGCAAAGGTATGCACAATAACTTTTGCAATTGCCTTTGTCTTGATCATTTACTGACTTAAGTATCGGAGTATATTCGACTAGTCTACTCCGATCTTTAGTAGTTTGTTCGTTTTGCAGAGGAAAATGAGCAACATACCATCAATTCGTCCACAACCAAATCATTTTGTAGGAGGTAATTTTTTTACCGCTTACAACAGTTTTATTTAAAAATTGTTAAATTGATGAATACAAGTTCAATTTATTTTTCAAAAAAATATATATATGCTAACCTAATCTAATTCTAACCACATCAAATTATGGATGCCTTACTTTAAGTTCTCCAATTTCAAACAGGCATTGGACTCCAAGGAATCTATGGGCATCAAAGCAAGCTCTTGTGCAATGTCATATATTCCATTATCACATACATTCAGGTCAGTTAGATTCTATATACTATCAACCCCCCAAAAAAAGAAACCTAAAAAAAAAAAAGAAAAGGCCAGTGCACAACCCTGTATCACTCCTCCAAAAAAATACCGGTACAGAACCATTACAATTACAAAAATCACTATTGAATCAACAAATTAAATATTAAATAATTATCTACTTTAAAAATTGAAATTATTAGAAAGAGTATAACTTTCAATATTAAACATATTTTTTCACAATCCAACTTATCTTCTATCAATTACTCAAAATTAAAAAAATTTAAAATTAAATTACAATTTTAAATGACATAATCGATTATAAAAAATTAAAATCAATACAGAGAGTTTATAATTTATCATGGGTGTCCGTGATTGATCATAACTTTTCGTTGAATAATTATAATTATTTATTTCAAAATTATAATTTTACTATAAAAAATAATACGCTACGGTATAAAAATATTCTTTTCACTACCATAGACTTTCCTTCTCTCTTCATAAACAAATGGTATGGACAACTAATATCACGACCACTTTTCCTATTTTACCCCCATAAAGCCCACGCAGTACAAGTCGAACACAAAACCACCACAATTATTAGGGAACAAGAAAAAGATCAAGAAAGAGAGGAGATGAGACGGCACCGTGGACTGCGCTCGTCGGAGTACGTCGTCGACGATGATGACGAAGAATCAGAAGACTCGGGATCAGATGACGATTCCGGAACGCTGAAGTGCGTCTCGTGCAAAGAGAGGTACGAGCCACGTGACGCCGGCACGTGCCGAGAGTGCTACGAGGAGGCCAGCGAGACCGAGCAAGAGCTCAAGCGCGAGATCGAAGATCTGAAGGCTAAAGTCAACTTTCTCCGGTCATGGACGCCGCCGATGAACCACCTCAACAGACCCATCACGCCTTGCTTCACTGACGTCGTTTTGGTAGCCTCCGATGAGGGGTCTGGTGAAGCAGTCGCTTGTTCTATACCCATACCGGCTCATAAGTCCGTTTTGGTCAGTACCCATATTTTTCAATATGTGGTTATGATCTGATCAGTACCCAGTTCATGGAATCGCATTATTTGCATCTATAGATGTTTGTGGGATCAATTTCTAGCGTATTTTTTTTACTTTATTCCGACGGTGAAATATTGATTTGCAATTATGCTTTTATATTGAAAGGTGAGTTAAACCACACATTGATATTAACAGCGGTTAATTGGGAAATAAGTTGATAGAATTGAGTATAGAAAATCATAATTTGGGCGAAAACTCGGTATGCGCTTGTGTGGTGGTTTTTACTGAATTTCTGGCGTGGGCTGTTGAGTTGAGTTTGCAGTGTGTTTGCTATTTTAGGCAGTAGAGACATTTAGACACAATGTAGCCATTTTATAACACTGCTTTGTATGGGTGTGTCTGGACCATAGAATTTTGTGATTTCCAATCCCATGATGTACATTTAGATCCCAACTTTAGTTGTCAGCTCCCAAGGTAGTAAAATGAGCGCAAGATTCAACTCCTAAATACTAGAAAATTTCACATATTTGCCTGGAATAATGTGTGTGCTCTGTTTTTTTTTTTTTGGGGGGGGGGGGTGATCTAACTCCAAAGATTCTGAGATTCACATATTTCTTATATGATCGTAATTTTTTCAATAATTTATTGAACCTTCCTTTCACCAACTATCCATCTTGGAGCAATTATGACACCGCTGACATGCCAGCTGACTGAAAGAATGAGGTAAAATTTGTAAATCTTCAAAGAAAAATGAGTGTATTGTTTTAGTTCTTTCCTCTGTAGATTTTATATTTAGCCAATTAAACAAAACCTGGCATTTCAGTAATGTCAAGAAGCATAAAATTGTTTAGTTATTGGT